TAACTTTCGCTAGCTAACAGTACGCTTTAACTTGCAATGAAAATGACTTTGACAAAATTAGAAACATATAATATCTGAAAACGTAGCTAGACTCTTACCCATATACATGGATGAATGCTTCACGGCTGACTGGAACCATTTAACTCAGTTTTGTTTGGCCAGCATTGTATCAAGTCACTCGGTTCACACTGTGCAGAAAGTAGCCCATCATAACTTTTTCCAACTGATCTGTCGATAGTGCCTGCTAAATTCAGGGCAACAATGTTGTTGAGAAAAGAGAGCAAAACTTTTGTAGTTCTCGATGGCTAACGTTATATCTTTCAAAACAGCTACAGTGCAAAGGATTATCAACACATACTGAGCTGCTCACGTTATAAACAGAGGCATGCTACATGGCAGACCAATCCAAACTCATCTCCTGGCATGTCCAGCCCATCCATTATCTCAGCCAATCATGGCTAGCAGAAAGGTTCCTGTCTTTTTCCGTGGCTAAACCAACTAGGCTCGTAATTTAACAATTGTATTTACCGATGGAATACAAGTTTGTTATAAGTTCACATGTTCCAGAAGGTATTTCTGCCAAAAAACGCATTTTGATCAAAATATAAAAAATACTTTCAATGCCTCTCCTGTGAAGTAGTGACATGGGACATACACCTAGCTTCCTGAAACGGGTCACATTTGTCTGAGAGTGGCCGTGCGGACTCTGACCTGTTGAAAATGTCGTCGTCCTCCCCTCCCCAGCCCCAGTAGTTGTTGGGGAAGCCGTTGATCTTGAGGAACTGCTCCTTGCTCATTGACGACACGCCTCCAAAGTACTGTTTGTACGGCAATCTGAGAGCAAGAGAGAGCGAGAGAGAGAGAGAAATAAATGGAGAACCTTGAATTTGTTTATTCGAGTTTAAACTAGGCTTGGGCGGTATACCGTATACACCGTATACTGTGGTATTTGGAAATAGCCACAGGATGGTTTTTCAATAACGTCAAAACAATCTTTGAAATCTTTACATATTTATATTTGTAGCTATTTGAGTAAACACCTGCAGTCAACTTGTGCAATGCGTTAGGAGACAAAGCAGATTGCGTTCTTCATTTCACCTGTCACATTATTTTACATTATGAAGCTTACGTAGTTCCCCAGAACAGTTGAGCCAGTCACGTGTTTTGTTTGTAAATAGCACAATGAGAGAAAGTGGGAGCAGGTGAGTCCAGCTGTGTATTGACAGGGGTCGCGTTTTATATTGAAAGTCAGTGTTTTTTTTGCTTCAATAGAGTGATCAGGGACGTGGAACTATAGTTTTTCATTCCCAGAAAATACATTAGAGCAATACATTCTGCAGATAATAGCTTCATTTTCATCAGATGACAACAGAAGTACAACACTATTTGGCTGGCAGCCACACAAGTAAATTAGCTTTTAATGAAAAAGCAAGGTCTTTTTTGAAAAAACGATGCATGGCCATCATATTTCTAATGTTTAAGTCTATCATAGAAAGAATGCAGCCAGCTACATTTCTTAACATTTTGCTTAAAGTTAATCTTGCATTTTACCAGAGAAAAATGGGCTTACCGTACCGAGAAAGGTACCGGGGAGAAAGTAGCTACACATCAGTCAGAGCGATGTCTGCTGATAGAATGCCGTTCGTGAATTCTCATTTGAGTTTAGAAGTGCAAATGAAGCACAAAATGTTTGATGGTGAGCAGAAATTACAATAAGAAGCATTTTAGATCTGCGTTTAATCTTTTTTTCCTGCGTGAAAAACTCAGAAATCTGTGTTAACACGACCCCTAAGTTTAAATTGCTATCTAAGTAAGTGGTTGAATTAATAAGGTGACGGGGCATCATATTGTGTTAGCTGTCTGCGTGTTTTAGAAGGCAAAGCCCTTTGGATTAGTTATTTGTACAGCTGTCACTGCCATTTTGATTTCCTTGTGTTTTTTCTCCTCTCCGTTCTCGGCTTGTCTGCTCCTCCCCGAGCAGAGCAGGCAGGCCCGTTGCCCTAGCGACTCCAGACAGACACAGCGTGTAGACATGCTGCTGGAGAGCCAGTACTGTTCTTCCTTCTGACAAGCACCCGTCAAAACGTGTTTCATTTGCACAATGTCTCTCGTTCACATTCGCTTGTATAACTTTATGAGCTGGATTGCCTGTCTTTACAATTAGTTTATTTCCATTTGCACTCGCCTCCGCTATTACTTGTGCTAATTTGGTTAGCATTCTGGTAATAGACGCCCAATGGGCTTTTTGGCGCCCCCTTGTGTACTAAGCCGGTAATACAGTAAATCCCAGGGTGAGAGAAGGACGGTATGAAAATCTGGATACTGCCCAACCCTAGTTTAAACACCTCTCAAATGAGGGTTAACCTCTACGGGATCGGTGTCCCGTATACGGGACGGTTGAGCTAACGTGCGCTAATGTGATTAGCATGACTGTTGTAAGTAACAGCAAACTTTCCAGGACATAGACATGTCTTATATGGGCAGAAAGCTTAAATTCTTGTTAATCTAACTGCACTGTCCAATGTACAGTATCTATTACAGTGAAAAAATACCATGCTATTGTTTGAGGAGAGTGCACAACAACAAAAATGTTTGATACATTCACCTCTGAAGGTAAACAATGCACTTACATTCAGTAATCTTGCTCTGATTTGTCATCCTAAGGGTCCCAGAGATAAAATGTAGCAAAGTTGTGTTTGTTAAATCCATTTTTAGGATGTAGGAACTGGGTTCTACAGTTTGAACCCATGCTGTCTCTGGCGCCACACCCACCCCGCCCGGCCATCTAGATGTGTGAAAGTTAGTGTATAAGCTAATGATCCATCATGTATGACATTCCTGGGAGTGTGTAAACTTATATTTTGTATTACCATATCATTTTTGTATGTTCTCTATAGTTATGTATCAATTGACCAATTCGGCACATTTGGGCAGACTTGATACAAAATAGTCCAGTATTGCAATGCTTCACTGGATCAATCTGAAACTTTTTTTTTCTTGCATTTCAAAGATGATGGAACAATTGTTTTTTAGAAAAAGCATGTTTTTTGGTTTGTATTATCTTTTACAAGATCTAATGTGTTATATTCTCCTACATTAATTTCACATTTCCACAAACTTCAAAGTGTTTCCTTTCAAATGGTATCAATATGCATATCCTTGCTTCAGGTCCTGAGCTACAGGTAGTTAGATTTAGGTATGTCATTTTAGGCGAAAATTGAAAAAAAGGGTCCGATCCTTAAGAGGTTCAATGACTTGGGCCATAACAGAAACTGCAGTCAGTGGCTTATGTTCCAGGAAACAGGAATTATCTGCAGATGAGGTGCTGCAGAAAAACCCTCTTCCTCTGTTTGTGTCACTGCCTTCTGTAGTTACATGCTGGCTCTCTGTACACTGTGTACTGTATGGCCACATGGCGCCAAGAGACTGATGAACCCTGGTTTAGCCTTGCCTCACTTTCCTGTTGATTTTGGACACCGAATTAGCCTTGGCTATACTGCCATTCTTTAAATCCCATGGCTAACATTGGAAAGGTCAGCACATTTAAGAAAATCAACAACAACAAACAAATCTTTAAAAAAACATGAATCCATTGTGGGACTTAGTCACCGAACAAATTATCCAACTAGGGGAGCTTGGCATCTCTCCTTCAGCCGGATTTCCCTGCCAAAATCCTGCTGGATATTGCATCCAGATGCTTAGTGAGCTGCATAGGGATGCCCATAAAAGCCTAGTTACAAGCTGTGACCTGTACTGTGACCTGTACACAGGTGGCACTCAGCACTATGACGTCACATCTGGGATCAGCTTACCTTACCAATCTAAATCTTACATCAGAAGCAGGCAACGGCGCCAAACTGACTGTAGATCAGCGCCTAGCCAAGCATAAGGCCTACAGCTGTGTAGGCCCAGAGCTGTGTATCACAACAGAAGAGAAGCTCCCAAATCCTTTTATCAAACACACAGATAAAAATACAGTCACTAGCATCAGAGCCCCTCCCTGTCTGACATGTAACTGTGTTACACGTGCAGAGCAACAGCTAAACCAACTGGAGTTTGCTCTACAGGTCACTGGACCCCACTTCCTCCCCCATAGTCAGAAAACAGAGCAGCAAACAGTCCAACACTGTGTGACACTCAGCATTGCCACCTAAGGTTAAACTGATTAATATTTAAGCCATTCTGACAGCAGACCATTGAAGCCAGTGAGCACATCGTAAGTATAGAGGCAGGCTATTCAAAACACATGACTCAAGGCAAATAAGGTCCCAATGAGGGACAGTTTACTACTAGTGTAGCTCAACTTGGGGCCTAAATCAAATGATATGCCAAGTTCTTTCCAAATCTTTCCAACACCGCCTTCTGCATTAGCAATAAAAATGCTTGCTTGTCTTACTGATAAGAGGTACGGAGAAACAAGCCTTTGTTCATTTAATAATAAGAAATTAAATAATACAGCATTCCTTTGGCAAGTGACACTTTATATGTAGCCTACGGTTTTACAGAACCTGGTTTTGATCAGTCACGTGAACAATAAGGAAGAAGGAAATCCTTAGTAACAACTTTCACCTGTGCTGTTGGCATCGTTCATAATTTCATCCCCACCCCATTGGGGAATGTGGCAGTACTGACTCCATCACTAAAGCCCAGTGAACGGCTTGGTTTGCACTGCTTGCTGCAAAAGTCTCTACACAGCTACGGAGGTAAAGACAGGCAGAACCGGAAACTGAACAACAAAACACGACAAAGTCCATTTTCAATAAGCAGCATCAAGCAAAGTCAACTGTTAGCTCTGTAAGCACAGTGGTAATTCAGCAGTTAATGGGTTCAAGTGAGTGACACGGACAGAACTTTTAAGCTTTTATGTGGACACTACAGTGTGGTTGTGTGTGTGTGTGTGTGTGTGTGTGTGTGTGTGTGTGTGTGTGTCTGTACTATGTCTGGGCAGTGAACTGGAGAGAGACAAAGACAATTCCAGGGCTATCCGTGGGAGTGTTGGCTTACCTGAAGCTAAACTTGTCCATGGAGACAGACAGGTGCCTGGGCTGGCTGAAGCACTTGTAGGTGTTGCGGTCGTCCATGGGGATTAGGTCCACGTCGCTGAACACAAAGCAGCCGTAGTCGTACTCCTTTAGGGCCTCCGAGTAGCCAACGTTGAGGAGCTTGGCGCGGTTAAAGACCTCATCACCGTCCTAGAGCGTGCGAATGGAGGGAATATGGGGTTAGAATTGGAAGGTGAATCGTGTAGAAATAAATACTTATTTTTGAGTGTCTAGACAGGGGTAGGCAACTCTGGTCGTCATTGGTTGGTTGGCCACCCATGTCTAATGGGACTAAAGCGCACACCAGAACTAAGGCTAAACTGAAGCATCCAGAGGGCCATCTATTATAATGTGATTGACAATGCAAACGTGTCAGAGACTGAGCACTAGACACTACAAACATCATACACTGACGTTTACAGAGAAAACGTACCAGACTTGTTTAGCTGGAAGGTTTGGACAATTGAAAAATATTGGTGCATACAATACAGGACTTAAACGTTTGTCTTTGATGACGTTGTGTAGGCATCTTGTTGTTTGCTGGAAAACATGCGTTTACTCTTAATCAGGAGAATGTCGGTACTTACAAACTTGAATTGAAATTCATGTTCTGTGATGCTGATGCAGTGTCATCAAAGCTCTGCGGGCCCAGCTCTAATGTGACTCGATGTAGCTGTAAGAGGATTGCTCAAGAACATGGATAGGTCATCTCTCTGGGGGACAACCTATGCCATTTCCCATTTCGAAACTCTTCAAGCAGTACAGTACTTTTTCCTCAGCATCGCGCTTTAGCTGTCCTCGTCTTATAATCATGGGCCTATCTTCATTAAAGAATAGGGGGCAGAATATCCTTAAATCGGGGGATTGAATGGCAGCATATCATATTGTACTCTGTACAGCCTTTATCCTCTGCTCAGTCAATAGATTCGGGGCTCTTTTCAGTCTGTTATGTCATTTACTACTTGTTGCCCACATGAAAAAATCCTATAGTATACTATGGTATTAATACTTTACTGTCCGTAAAAACACTACAGTGAATACGGAAGTATTTCTATAGTGTTTTTGTTTTATTATCTTTAACGTTGAAGTGGAGGCTTTCTCCTTAAGGAAACCTACCGGAGAAATGTAAATACTAAAAGAGCACATTGTGCCTTTCAGTGGACACGTCTCATATATCACTGGCTTTATCTGATGGTCCTCCTGAAAAGGTTCGCTTGAATACCCATAGAACCAAATTTGGCTAAAATATTCAAATCGGGGCAGATGAAACCCCCTAATAACATGCAATCGAAACAAGGACTGATGTCCTCAAATGAAAGTGTGGCTAGTGTTTTTAAACAATTCACTTAAACAGAGCAGGAAAACCTGGACAGGAGTGCCGACAATTGAATCAATGTTCAGTAAGTAGTGTTCTCTGCTGAAGCACTTTGTTGTCGGTCACATGTTATGTTACACATTGTGGTGATAAGAGAGACAGACATATGACACCTGATTAAAATAAACTTCTTGACATCCGCTATGGTCTGATATAAACATACGCTAAGGAGGTCTATGAGTGTGTTTGTTTATGGGAGTGTGGTTTTTATCTCCACCAAGTGATGCATCCCTCTCTCCTCCAGTGCATGACAGCATCATCTGCAGAAAGGGTGTGTGGATCATTTGCAAAGACAGAAAGAAGCAAGTGAAGAAGATTTTGAAAAAAGTGCATGTGACCAAAATAGATTTCTCTCAGTCAATGAGGGAGCGAGAGACAGATAGAGAGAAAAGAAGCCCATATTACCAGTAGAACCCCTCAGCCCATGGAGTCACGCAATTGGCCAGAGCAAGCAGGGGACCATTTTCTCCTCTTCCAGCGACCACAGCCATTGGCCAGATACGTCTGACATGCAAAAGGGTGGCGGTTTGAGCAAGGGGGCAGAGAAAGGAGGAAGAAATAAAATGAGAGGAAAGGATAGGAAAGGAGAAACAGAAGAGAGAAACAGAAAGATTGAGTAGAATTCCAAAAAAGACCCAATAATTGTGTTTGACTGCATTGAAGAGCCCTTTAGCAATAGATAGGCCACTCGACTATGGAAAAAGTCAGATTGGCCCATCAGTATAACAGCAGCCATTAAAGCTACTTTTATTTGCAGTGGACACCACCATGTCAAGGCTGACGTCTTGAACTAATTTTCTACTTGTGTTGGAGACTGGAGTAGAGTATACGATAAAAAAGTATTATATGATCAAATAGAACCATGTATTTGCTGCGTATGACGTTCTAGGTGTGGCGTTCACTCTACACTACAACATGCTGGTTGACCCACATTTGACCTGTTAGAGGGTGGGAGGCAACAGACTCATGTCCTGGCATGAGACGTGAACGAAGAGTCAATTACGCCTTCAAGCTGAAAAACAGTACTGGCCTCCCAAGAGCCAATAGTACCTCCATCTGCAAAGAATCATGTCATTAAATGGATCATTAAACTATACCTAACTGATACGTTTTTTTTTTTTAACAAACAGGAATAGGTTTAATCTACAATATGGTCCTGTCTGCCAGTATTAACTTTGGCTTGTCAATAAATTTTCAAATGTTACTTTGCTTTATCCTAGACAGTGTTGATGACTTGAAGGATATTGAGAAGGATGGATATCGTTATCCTACGTTCAGGTCAGCATTTGCATGTAATGGGATTAGATTTCCCAATAACTAATACATTTTCATATTGTCAATTCTGGGATGTGTAGTGGCATTCATATTAGAGTTTGTCCTTTTGCCAGATTGATTTCAAAATACCCTTGAGGCCAACTCTAGTATTCACAGAGTCAGGAAATCCCCATACCTGTGAGAATACAGTCTAATTACTTGGAACACTTTAAATGAGAGCACGCGCAAAACAAGTTTCTGCCCATCTGTGGTCTCATGTTACTAATGAGGCATAGGAAGTAGAGGTGCTGAACCCCCTGATAAACTCAAATTAGTACACTAGGCCTTTATTACTCCTTTATGAGAGGAGAAATATACTTGTCAGCAGAGCGGGGAGAAAATATTACTTTTTGGGTAACTACATTTTTTAGATTTTTCCCAGACCTCAAAAGTAGTCTCCTGCTGTGGTTTAAGCATTGTTGTGGACTTAGAACATCCAATTTAGTTTTCTATAAAAACAAAACAGATATTTTTGTATTTATATACATTTTACCTTGAAAATCTAAAAAAGGAGAAAACAGAATAAATAAAAAAAATGAATCACGCAAAAAATGACATTGATTTTATAGGTCCCTATAGGTCGCACCACTCAGGCTAATGATTGCCAGTGATAACAACCAACAAACCAGGCCAGTTTGCAGCTAGGATAGTAGTCAAAACTGAGTAGTCAACTTGTTGTGGCACTAAGTGCTTATCATGACCACTAGTCTATGGTCAACTTGTCAGTCTTTGATCAAAACTGATTAGAAGCAACATGATATTCACTATGTTGCACCAAGAGCCTGTCAAACCAGTGTAGAACTGTGCTTTGGTCAAAATGCATAAGTTGTGATGAATAAAAAAACAAAAAAGAACAGACTTGATATCACCTGAGCACTTAACTACATGCACTAAACAATGATAAAAGTTTATATTTTGTATCGATAGTTACATATCAGAATATTATTTTTGTGCTAGTCGGCTGTACTTGCACCAAAACGCCACTATTTTTCCCTAATAGCTTGTTCTCAAATAGGGAGCCAATTTGTTTTCAGTGCTTTCATTACCATGACTGATCAAAACAAGTTATCATGGCTCGCGCTTGTCCCTCTGCAGCAGACATTTGGTGAGCAATTTGTTTGGAACATCGAATCACAATAGAAATCACAGTACCAAATCGCAATACGTATAGAATCGTGAGAATCGCAATACATATCGTATCAGCGCCTAAGTATCATGATAATACCGTATCTTGAGGTCCCTGGCAATTCTCAGCCCTACTAAACTATAAACTAGGCCTATATGATTACAATAAAAAGGTCAAAATTAGGCCTACTGACTATTTTTAGATCTGGAAAAGACCATAAATGTTGTGTCCAGGCCAGGTTCCCCAACTGTTTTGCATTAAAGTTTAAGTACAACCCTTGTTGAATTCTTCCTTTAGTTATCTGTAACCAACTCTATACCTTTGTGTACGTCAAAGAAAGAGTGTTCCTTTATTCCAATAAAGGATCTTGATGAAAAGAGACAGGAATGTGTGAGGATAAAAAATAGCCTTCCAGACGGGGCTATTCTCTCAGGTCTTTAAAAAGTGACAGAGATGGACATAGTGTGGCTTTCAGACGGGGCTATTTCTGTGTCACGTCCATGTGTTCAGTGCTAGTTTGACGATAGAGAGCCCGATAGTCTCTTGGTTGTGCAAACACCATGAATAAATAAAGGAAATTGCTGATGGACAAAGAACAGACGCAGAGACAAATGCTGGCACTATGTCGCAAGATCTGATTTCTTCCCATATACGGGAACACAACGGACTACTGCAAATTGTAGGAGTTCTTAAAAAGGGAGGCGTCAGTTATTTGGATGCTAGCCTACTCTTTCTCTTGACTATAAATCAAGAAATTACTTTATCGAAAATGAGAGACATTTCAAACCTTTCTGACAGACTGGGAGAAAAAAGGGCCTAAAAAGCTTATCTCTGACAAGCTACACAAAGTTGAATCTGACTGAAGTTTGCTTTCCCAGAAGAGTTTGCCAACTCAATAAGCAAACAAATCTACCAGCACATGTCTCAACTAGCCAAGTCACTTGGCAGCTGCCATTACAGCCTGTAATGGCTTGATGCCATTTTGTTTTTACACAGCCTAACCCATTCTGCTTAAAAGCGTAAAACCCAAATAAAATATGGCGAAAGTACCTGTACTTGTGGTTTACGGTACCAGTAAACTCTAGCTAGCTTATATTTGAAATATACAGACCACCTTTGTTTGTTTCTTGCATTCAGACAGCCTAATTAAAACGGCACTCCCTGCACTGAAACTTGCACACTGGTTAAAACCTTTCAACCTGCATTTCCCACTACTCCACCCTGCTGTATGCAGACATGGAGCAGACAGGGGCTGGCCGGGAGGGACCCACCTGGTTGATGACGTAGACGCCATAGTCCAGCTGCTGGCGCTGAAGGATTGGGTGGAGGTAGTAGAGCCAAAACTTGAGGTGCTCGTCGCGGTTGCGGAAAGGGATGATGATGGCCACCTTCTGGAGGGCCACGCAGTCTTTGGGCTTGAAGCGCCCCCCATTCTTAAGATTGGGGTTTTCCTTCCTTACCACGTCCAGGCTGACTGGGTTGGAGAACTCAATTCGCAGTGGGCCAACTGGACGAGAACGAGAGAAGAGAGGTCATACATTTTTGTCAGGGCTCCATATCTAAACAGCCCTGATAAGTGATGATTTGGTAGAGCCAATGGAAATAGCAAGTGAACACAACTTTCATTAAATCTGCTTGCTTAGCCTCACATTGAAGTGTTTTACCATTTTATTTTCAGGAAAACCAGGGCTACAAGTAGAACACAAAACAATTTGCATGAGTTTTATTGACAAATGTCAAAAGACAAATAAGGTCCACCAACAAAACCCTGATAAAATATGAATTTATAAGAATACTGTAAGTACATAAATTGTTTGCTCAGTGGGAAATGAATATCCAACTAGTCAGTGACAACTGTGTGGAGTTTGGAGTTTGTGACAGCAACTATGTAATTATATTATAGTTTTATAGACACTAAGTCCTGAGATTTCCTATGATCTTCTATGCAGAAGAACCTCTTACCTTCGACTCGTGTGGCTTGAGTGCCACACAGCAAAATAGGTTACATGTGCAAGTTCGTGAGAGTTTCAGCTTTTCATAGAAGGGTCATAATAGATTGAATTTGTCTATTTCTTCTGCATCCGCTGATACCGACCATCAGTCTGTGTGATTCATGGGGGCTGAGCTAGAGCGGTGTTTGTGAGACAAGGTTGTTTTTGGGATCCGACCGTGTCTCACAAAGTCTGCTCTAGCTCAGCCACCGTTAAGCAGTCTGTAGCTCAAACAGACAATGTTTAAAATCGTAGGACTAATATAGGCTGGGCAGGTCTATACTATAGAATGGAAATCTTGCCTAGTTACCCAATCTCCTGTTTTCAGCAACTGCTTTTTCTCCTGACAATGACTTCTGAACTGTTTTATTATTAAAGCTGCAATATGTAACTTTATGGGCAACTTGACCAAATTCACAAAGAAATGTGTTATAGATCTGTCACTCTCATTGAAAGCAAGTCTAAGAAGCGGTAGATGTGTTCTATGTGCGCTATTTCTATGCCTCCTGTTCTTAAGTTTTGTTTTTGCGGCTTTTACTTCCGGTTTTGCGCACCAGATTCAAACAGCTGAAAATACAATCTTTTTGGTAATGCAAAATATATTTCACAGCGGTTTAGATGGTACAATGATTCTCTACACTATACTTGCTTGTTTTGTCACAAAGTGAAATTAGGTGAACTATTAGAATGTTAGCAACCAGGAAATGGCAGAGCGATTTCTGCATAGTGCATCTTTAAAGCCAGTGACTTACACAAGTAGGTAAGTGCTTAGCAACAGTAGGTCAAATTACAAAAGCCATACAAAAAAAGAACAGAAGGTTATACTACATATATGACGTAGTGAACTTATTGTATTGTTTTCTGCAATGTGACCTAGAGGTTGACGTTCCTAAACTGCAAGACTGCATTGCTTTTCAATTCAATCTCCATGTCCGCTGTGGGCAGAACGAGCACACCACTGTAATCCACTGACTCCCACCTCTGGAGCAGTCAGGGTTTTGTGGCAGAGGGATAGATCCGCTAGGGCCACAGCTGCATAAACATCTCGTTTTTGAAATCGGAGCTAAGGAAGAAGGCCACTGAACAACAACAACAAACCTGTGAGGAAATAAGCAAACTCAAACAATGAATTCAAGAGCACTAGCAGTAGACCTACAGTGGGGAAAAAAGGATTTAGTCAGCCACCAATTGTGCAAGTTCTCCCACTTAAAAAGATGAGAGAGGCCTGTAATTTTCATCATAGGTACACGTCAACTATGACAGACAAACTGAGAAGAAAATTCCAGAAAATCACATTGTAGGATTTTTTATGATTTTATTTGCAAATTATGGTGGAAAATATGTATTTGGTCAATAACAAAAGTTTCTCAATACTTTGTTATATACCCTTTGTTGGCAATGACACAGGTCAAACGTTTTCTGTAAGTCTTCACAAGGTTTTCACACACTGTTGCTGGTATTTTGGCCCATTCCTCCATGCAGATCTCCTCTAGAGCAGTGATGTTTTGGGGCTGTCGCTGGGCAACACGGACTTTCAACTCCCTCCAAAGATTTTCTATGGGGTTGAGATCTGGAGACTGGCTAGGCCACTCCAGGACCTTGAAATGCTTCTTACGAAGCCACTCCTTCGTTGCCCGGGCGGTGTGTTTGGGATCATTGTCATGCTGAAAGACCCAGCCACGTTTCATCTTCAATGTCCTTGCTGATGGAAGGAGGTTTTCACTCAAAATCTCACGATACATGGCCCCATTCATTCTTTCCTTTACACGGATCAGTCGTCCTGGTCCCTTTGCAGAAAAACAGCCCCAAAGCATGATGTTTCCACCCCCATGCTTCACAGTAGGTATGGTGCTCTTTGGATGCAACTCAGCATTCTTTGTCCTCCAAACACGACGAGTTGAGTTTTTACCAAAAAGTTCTTTTTTGGTTTCATCTGACCATATGACATTCTCCCAATCCTCTTCTGGATCATCCAAATGCACTCTAGCAAACTTCAGACGGGCCTGGACGTGTACTGGCTTAAGCAGGGGGACACGTCTGCTAAATGACTAAAATGTAAATGTAAATGTCTGGCACTGCAGGATTTGAGTCCCTGGCGGCGTAGTGTGTTACTGATGGTAGGCTTTGTTACTTTGGTCCCAGCTCTCTGCAGGTCATTCACTAGGTCCCCCCGTGTGGTTCTGGGATTTTTGCTCACCGTTCTTGTGATCATTTTGACCCCACGGGGTGAGATCTTGCGTGGAGCCCCAGATCGAGGGAGATTATCAGTGGTCTTGTATGTCTTCCATTTCCTAATAATTGCTCCCACAGTTGATTTCTTCAAACCAAGCTGCTTACCTATTGCAGATTCAGTCTTCCCAGCCTGGTGCAGGTCTACAATTTTGTTTCTGGTGTCCTTTGACAGCTATTTGGTCTTGGCCATAGTGGAGTTTGGAGTGTGACTGTTTGAGGTTGTGGACAGGTGTCTTTTATACTGATAACAAGTTAAAACAGGTGCCATTAATACAGGTAACGAGTGGAGGACAGAGGAGCCTCTTAAAGAAGAAGTTACAGGTCTGTGAGAGCCAGAAATCTTGCTTGTTTGTAGGTGACCAAATACTTATTTTCCACCATAATTTGCAAATAAATTCATAAAAAATCCTACAATGTGATTTTCTGGATTTTTTTTCCTCAATTTGTCTGTCATAGTTGACGTGTACCTATGATGAAAATTACAGGCCTCTCATCTTTTTAAGTGGGAGAACTTGCACAATTGGTGGCTGACTAAATACTTTCCCCCCCCCACTGTATGCTATGCATTAATAATACATGAGTGGGGCTATAGATAGGCCTATTGTATGACTAAGTGAAATACCAAACACTACAGGGTAAGGAGTCATAAAATAACTTAGAAATAGACAAGTGAAATACCAAACACTACAGGGTAAGGAGTCATAAAATAACTTAGAAATAGACTGGTGGCTATGCACTCATCTATACTTTGAACTTGTTGTTGACATTAGGTTAGACGATAAAGGGACATGTAATCCAAGCGCTTTACTCATTCCTTATCAGAGCATATGAATGACTGTGCCTGACAGTTATGGCCAACATCTGTTATAATTGTTTGCTGATAAGAGACTTTCGCAAGACTACCAACCAATCATCATATGGCTATACAATGCACCCGTGAAATTACAGTTTACGCCATACACATTGATTATGCATTGTTGATTAAATATGTATGTTGTTCGTTTTGGCACCATATCAGCTAACGTTACTTACCAAGCAGTGGGGATGTGTCAGGACATTTTCCAATGTCTTTGGTGATTGTAGTCATGTTGTCTACAGAAAAGTGGTTTGTTTCAAACGCTTCAGGTACTGTGTCCTTTGATGTAGTTTGGTCGTGCTTCGCTGTGTGTGCATGCTGATTTTGTGCAAACGCAAAACGAATATCTAACGACCTCACGTAAAAAATTAAAGTGACCGAAATATGGAAAAAACATAGAAGGACGACCAATTTGCATGTTCTATGGAGAACACTGAAATTCACTGTTGAATCCCGCATCATTAACTTGCTATGCTAAATTAGCTAGCTAGCTAACGTTATATGGATAAACAAATCTAAAGTAGGTAACGTTAGCAAGTTATTTCCTTGTTAACGTTACAAAATTACAACACCATACCCAATTTCGACGGATTTCACTCTGTCAACTAGCTAGCTAATTTTCTACATGCTAGCTGATGGTAAAAGGGTTCATTTTCGCTCGAAACAACTTGAACTTCACGAAAAAGTTACCTATATCGTTGTACTTTCGTTGTATTCCGTCCAATAAAGAAGTTATCTTGTCGTGAAAGATTCCCTCAAGTTACTACTATCACAACTAACTGTCCCAAATTACTTCAACAAACGATTTAGATAACTAACTATCAAACGTTATCGCTAGCTAGTAGCTAACAGTACAGCAGCGAATAATTACAGCAGCAAGTCCGCGAGAAGGCAAGATTCTAAGAATAATCCGTTTCCCGTTGGCCAAATTGACTTCTGCTAAACTCAATTACACAAATATATCCGATGGTATTAATGCTAGTGTATTTAAAATATGAGCGTCCAGTATTAACGAAGTAACTTCAGAGTTGTACAATTTCGAAAAAAACAAAGTCACCCCTCTGACAGACATTTCCTTGTGGAGACCTAACAAAAGTTGGTTGCTGGTTCGAGTAGCATCTTCTTCTTCTTTAAAGTTTTATGGCAGACTTGATCTGTTGGTGTATTGCCGCCACCTACTGTACGGGGCGGTCGAGATAATACAAAATAAATAAATCAAACAACCATCATATAATACTCCTTCAGTCACATTCAAATCACATCCCTACACAGGCTCAAGGCTCAGGTGACTGTAAGGACGGAGCATTCATCGACAGGATTCCTTGTAATGCCTCAGCAGAAAAATCCCTGAGTCCAAAAAGACGCTCAGCCATTTTTCTCAGATTTCCTCTCCATTTGCAGTGTGCAGTTGATAACCAAAGTAATAAACGCTACAAAGTCGACCTTCTTAACATGCAACATGTCAGGATCCCTCTGTTGACAAGGAATATCATATTGTGTCTATACTCCTACTACCATTACTTCTTCAACTTCACTCCTTTCTTCCACTCTTCTCAATGCCTCCGGATAGGAGACATTCTGGACAGCCCTTATTCTTGCCACCCAAGTCTCCTTCACCCTAACAGGACCCTTCAGAAATTCGGGTGCATGTTCACCACCACAATTACAGCATTTAGGCTCAGCTGGCATATAATACTCCTCCCCTCTACATACACTTTACACATGACCAAATCATTTAAATGTATCAAACTGCATGGCTTTGGGCATGAAGGCTCTCACCGGGAATCTCATATAACCCAAATACACGTGAGAAGGGAGAGACACTCCATCTACCATGCGGGTCAGTTGTTGTGCACCAAACCGCTTGATCCAATTCTTCTAGTGCCATCCCAGGGATAACACCCTTGATAGGCGCCCTGCTTCGAAGCTCCACACACGACACGTTCCAATTCGACATCTTCTTGAGGCGCAGAGCACGCTCCTTCTGTTCCATTGAAACACACAAAAACGAAATAAACCCACTTCTTGTTATTCTCATTGATGGCACCTCATCCAACACATCCACAATTTTTATAGAGACTTCAAACGGATCTCCCTGGTAACAACATCGATCCAATACCCTTATTCCAACCAAAAAAGACTCAGAACTAGGTTTGGATTGACTAGTTTCCACTACCACTTTACTTCTCTTATTGCCCTATTTGTTCGCCACTGTAATCCAATTATTCTCACTCTAATCTCCATTCGACACGTCATCTGATTCAAACAGAACATCCGCTTCCGCCATTTTCCCACCGCCACTCCTCAAGTGGCGGTGCTTCTGCTTCTGCTTCTGCTTCTGCTTCTGCTTCTTCGTCGGTATCATGGCGTTCGCACGTTGTGTTTGTGCATGCTGCCACCTACTGTGCGGTAGTGTGTGTTCAATCACGTTACATTTTGTGATACAAAAAGGGGGAAAAGGAAAAAATTGCACCTCCAACTAACATCTATATACCACTATTACATACCACCAACTAACATCTATATACCACTATTACATACCACCAACTAACATCTATATACCACAATTACATACCACCAAATAACATCTATATACCACTATTACATACCACCAACTAACATCTATATACCACTATTACATACCACCAAATAACATCTATATACCACTATTACATACCACCAACTAACATCTATATACCACTATTACATACCACCAACTAACATCTATATACCACTATTACATACCACCAACTAACCCTACATCTATATACCAATATTACATACCACCAACTAACCCTACATCTATATAGCACTATTACATACCACCAACTAACCCTACATCTCTATACCACTATTACATACCACCAACTAACATCTATATACCACTATTACATACCACCAACTAACCCTACACCTATATACCACTATTACATACCACCAACTAACCCTACACCTATATACCACTATTACAAACCACCAACAAACCCTACATTTAAATACCACTATTTCATAAAAATAAAAATCACCACCCCATTCCACTACTTTGACCCTAACTGATCCTACACCAGGCCGAGGGCCAGGGAGGACGGGACTCTTTTGTTCAACACACCTTGAAACCCCCTTGCAGTAAAACCTAGTACACCCAAGTACCTCTCTGCAGCTGCCACCACAACATCTATTTTCTGTGATTTACATTCCATTTCTTCAGTACAGTTGATTACCATGGCAATGAATGCTAAGAAGCCAACCTTACTGAAGCACAAATTCATATCACTCTGTATTGGCCTAGGCCTACTATTCACCCTTGACCCATCATAAAAATAAAGTATGAAAATGTATGGACTCAAGAAGAAGCAAATTAAGGTCCTGGAGTGGCCTAGCCAGTCTCCAGACCTTAATCCCATAGAAAATCTGTGGAGGGAGCTGAAGGTTCGAGTTGCCAAACGTCAGCCTCGAAACCTTAATGACTTGGAGAAGATCTGCAAAGAGGAGTGGGACAAAATCCCTCCTGAGATGTGTGCAAACCTGGTGGCCAACTACAAGAAACATCTGACCTCTGTGATTGCCAACAAGGGTTTTGCCACCAAGTACTAAGTCATGTTTTGCAGAGGGGTCAAATACTTATTTCCCTCATTAAAATGCAAATCAATTTATAACATTTTTGACATGCGTTTTTTGGATTTTTTGGTTGTTATTCTACATTTACATTTACATTTTAGTCATTTAGCAGATGCTCTTATCCAGAGCGACTTACAGGAGCAATTAGGGTTAAGTGCCTTGCTCAAGGGCACATTTACGTCATTTAGCAGACGCTCTTATCCAGAGCGACTACAAATTGGTGCATTCACCCTATAGCCAGTGGGGGGGGGGGGGGGGGGGGGGGGGGGGGGGGGGGGGGGGGGGGGGGGGGGGGGGGGGGGAAGGTGGTGAGTGACTCCGCTGTCCTGGCGTCGTGAGGGAGCTTGTTCCACCATTGGGGTGCCAGAGCAGCGAACAGTTTTGACTGGGCTGAGCGGGAACTATGCTTCCGCAGAGGAAGGGGAGCCAGCAGGCCAGAGGTGGATGAACGCAATGCCCTCGTTTGGGTGTAGGGACTGATCAGAGCCTGAAGGTACGGAGGTGCCGTTCCCCTCACTGCTCCATAGGCAAGCACCATGGTCTTGTAACGGATGCGAGCTTCAACTGGAAGCCAGTGGAGTGTGCGGAGGAGGGGGGTGACGTGAGAGAACTTGGGAAGGTTGAACACCAGACGGGCTGCGGCATTCTGGATGAGTTGTAGGGGTTTAATGGCACAGGCAGGGAGCCCAGCCAACAGCGAGTTGCAGTAATCCAGACGGGAGATGACAAGTGCCTGGATTAGGACCTGTGCCGCTTCCTGTGTAAGGCAGGGTCGTACTCTCCGAATGTTGTAGAGCATGAACCTGCAGGATCGGGTCACCGCCTTGATGTTAGCGGAGAACGACAGGGTGTTGTCCAGGGTCACGCCAAGGCTCTTCGCACTCTGGGAGGAGGACACAACGGAGTTGTCAACCGTGATGGCGAGATCATGGAACGGGCAGTCCTTCCCCGGGAGGAAGAGCAGCTCCGTCTTGCCAGGGTTCAGCTTGAGGTGGTGATCCGTCATCCATACTGATATGTCGGCCAGACATGCAGAGATGCGATTCGCTGTTCAAATAAACCTACCATTAAAATTATAGACTGATCATGTCTTTGTCAGTGGGCAAACGTACAAAATCAGCAGGGGATCAAATACTTTTTTCCCTCACTGTAGTTCACTGACATCATGATTTGACCTCTTATTTTTCAGAGTTCCCAGTTGTCTTGAAAGCACCATTAGCCCTCTGAAGAAGAGTGTGTGCATGTAGTTAGATGACATCTAAATAAGTCTGTTTGTAATTGTTACTGGTTGGGTTGATATCTCTTCACCCTTTGACTGACTGAAGTTGGTCTATCTTTACTTTATCTTTTCTCTGTTTGACAGAAGGAAATAAAATACAACTATGATATTCAATTGTCAGTGTAAAAGAATAACAAAATATGGTAGGAAATATTAAAAACCCAGTGCAGTCAAAATTCCATTGAGGCAGTGTCTCCATGTCAAATATAACGCACGAGCGCAGACGGCGATAAAATGATCAAATCCATTGACTTAAAAAATATATATATTATCACTTTTGTATTGAACACAATACAAAAAAGGAAATAAACTTAACATAGACAGGGGTATTACAAGTCAAAAGAACATTTACATTTGTCATAAAGTATTTTGGTACTTAATGCTTTTTTGTTTTTACATTTACTAATGATTTTTATTTATTTATTTTTTATTTCACCTTTATTTAACCAGGTAAGCCAGTTGAGAACAAGTTCTCATTTACAACTGTGACCTGGCCAAGATAAAGCAAAGCAGTGCGATAAAAACAACAACACAGAGTTACAGATGGGGTAAACAAAACATAAAGTCAAAAATACGACAGAAAATATATATACAGTGTGTGCGAATGTAGTAAGTTATGGAGGTAAGTCAATAAATAGGCCATAGTGCAAAATAGTTACAATTTCGCATTAACACTGGAATGATAGATGTGCAAAAGATGAAGTGCAAATAGGGATAATGGGGTGCAAATTAGCAAAATAAATAACAATATGGGGATGAGGTAGTTGGGTGGGCTAATTTCAGAATGGCTGTATACAGGTGCAGTGATCGGTAAGCTGCTCTGACAACTGATTCTTAAAGTTAGTGAGGGAGATAAGAGTCTCCAGCTTCAGAGATTTTTGCAGTTCGCTCCAGTCATTGGCAGCAGAGAACTGGAAGGAATGGCGGCCAAAGGAGGTGTTGGCTTTGGGGATGACCAGTGAGATATACCTGCTGGAGCGCAGACTACGGGTGGGTGTTGCTATGGTGACGAGTGAGCTAAGATAAGACGGGGATTTGCCTAGCAGTGATTTATAGATCACCTGGAGCCAGTGGGTTTGGCGACGAATATGTAGTGAGGGCCAGCCAACAAGAGCGTACAGGTCACAATGGAGGGTAGTATATGGGGCTTTGGTGACAAAACGGATGGCACTGTGATAGACTACATCCAATTTGCTGAGTAGAGTGTTGGAGGCTATTTTG